AAATTTAAGTTCCTCTGCATCAAAATATTTATAAATTTAAGCGTAAAACCAAAAAAAAAAAATTAACTTTAGGAAAAAATGAAATAAGCAATGATGCTAAACTCATGTAAAATCAAATAAAATAAATAATGATGCTCAAATAAAATAAATAATTAAATAATGATGAAAAAATGAAATTAATAATGATGCTAAAAAAAAAAAAAACTCATGTAAAATCAAAAGAAGGTTAAAGGTTATATTGAATGAAATAAATTTTTTTCCTTTCTCTTTATCACTCCACAAATGATAAATGGGACTAACCCATTTGCATCAATAATTTGCACTAATGCATCAGTACTATTGCTGCCATCGTGAGCCATACATGAATGTGCATAGAAATCATAAATTTCTATAATTTAAATATCGTAACTTTTTTAAATTTAATAAAAAGTAATGAAATTCTCAAATGTATGGATTATGCACTAAATTAGTTTTATTTGAATAAGCATATATATATAAATTGTCAATTATTTTTTCTTGTTCATGTTAAAAATAATTCGGAACTTTTAGTAGTCATTTATATGCTTATTAAAAATTAATGAATTGATCGGAGAATTTTTAAAAACGAAAATAGATGAGAATTTTTAATAAATAATCATCGTTATTTACAAATAACAACAATTTAATCTCGATATTTTAAAAAGAAATATTTGATAATATAAAAAATAAAATGGAATTTTAGCTTAGGCTTAGACCTTATCAAATGCGATTATATTACTGCCGATACTTTTAGTTTTATAAGCAGGCAAATAAAGTTTGAACAAACATAAAATAAATTTTAACAATAAATATTATGAATTTTCTATTTTAATAAATTTTAATTGATAAAATACAAAACAAACTGCCAAAATTTAACTTTTATATTTGAAATTTACAAACATACCTGTATTTTCAAGGACAATATCAAGTGTTAACGGCTGTCCAATACTAGCATGTGTGACAGTATTTCCGAGAATACCATGTCCATCGCGAATCTGTATTTGTAATGCCGGTATTCCACCGGTTCCGGTTACAACACCTGCTTGTTCTTCTAATCCACTAAAATTTTTTAACAAAATTTTTTAAATGCGATTTTTTTTTTCAATTTTTGCATATCTGAAACAAATAGAAATTTTGGAAAAAATATTTGCATTATATGTTTCAATAACTGAAAGAACCAAATAATAATAGCGGATTGAAATTCAAATTTAAACCTTTTTAAAGTTTACAAATTTTCATTTACATGAAATTTGCTCAATTACTGTAAAAGAATTTGGTCTGTAATTCTATATAAATTTCTATAATGATAAATAGCAGAAAAAAAGGAATTCATTTTTTTTGGGAAATTTCATAAAATATTTTTTTTTT